GGGTGATTCACAGTTTGCCCATGTTAACACTGGTTTTCATGAGTGTTACTGTCCCCCATTTGCTCCTGGGTACAATCAAGATGCTTGTTATCATCTATAATACCCTACCTGACACAAGACTAGGCTATTAGTGGAACCCCCTCTTTATGAGGATAAAGTAGGCAGATAGAGCACGTTCCAGATCTCTTCCTAAGTAGCTGATCCAGCCTGTTGGAATAGCGTCCCACCTAAAATCTGAGAGTGGGGAGAGGAGTCCTACCCTTTCAACCTTCCAAAAGTCAGTGAAGACTTGATTCTTCTCCCACCATTGGACTAAAATGGAGTTGAGTCAAGGAATCAACCATTTGGTGATTTGGTGCCTGGTGGGAAGAGTATAATCTGGGTATAGTCTGTATTTATTGGTTGCTGGGAGTTACTTGATACCTCTATCACAGGATTGGTGAACCTTTTCGGCACTGAGTTGATGCACATGCCAAGCGGCTCGTCTTCTGGTTTCTGATGTGCACATGCGCACCATCCATCTGGTATTCTAGTTTCTAGAGCAGCTGGCTGGTGAGCATACGTGTACCAGAAACCATTAAAACTGCCGTCCGGTGTTTGCATCCATTCGGTGCCAAAAAGGTTCACTAACCCTGGTTTAGACAGTGCTCTGGCGCTCCCGTGCATGTGAAGACCAGGTGGCCTTACCGCCAGAATCCGGTCGAGCAATGGGCGATGGCTCGTGTGCTGGGAGAGATGGCTCTGTGTGCCGCTTCCGGCATGCGTGTCATAAGTTCGCCATCACGGCTCTATCAAATGCAGGGTGGGAAAGAGTTTCTACAGAGGCTTAGATTGAAAGTTTGGTCCTTGCTCAGAACAGGCAAGCTTTTAAAAGTGGGAAGGCTTTATAATTAAAATTGTTCTATTTGCAAAGATTTGTATGGATATTTCCCTTTATTTATTTTATTAAATGTGTAGCAGGCTTTTCTGGGTATAGAAACACCCAAGGCAGCTTAGAATTCAAATAAAAAAATAGATTGTCATAAAAGCTATTACAATTTAAGTCAGATAATATTTTAAAGTTTCACACAAGGAATGTGGATTTTGCCAAAAAAACAAACAAGCAACTAGGAGCCATAGACCAGCATAGAATATTCCTTGCCACTTATTGAAAGATAAAATGTGGAAGCTTTTAGGCTATTCTTATAATTTAAGCAAATTACATCTTCTCAATGAAAAGGCCCGCAAATACTTTTTGCTAATTTGAAGTTGACATCATATGAATGGACAAAAGCTTAATAAGGTCTTTCAGTTGCTAGTATCAAAGTAGTAGTAATAACAGTTGGGTTTTAAGGTTTCTTTCATCCTTAAATTATTACTTGTATTGATGCAGAAATAATAATGTGCTAATGTGATGTGCAGATAAGTGAAAAACTGTTGAAAAGTGATCCATAAGTAAAAAAGTGGTCTGAAAGGGATTAGTATGTCCTCTTGAGTTAATGGCACAGGAATGCCACCTGTCTCCAAGAATTTGACTTGATAAACAATATATCTCCCTGTTCAGATTTTTTTATTTAAGATAATAATAATTGCTTGAAAAGAAAAATGACTGAGCGCCTTAATGCTTTATTCAATTACCTTCATGATGAGTATAAAAAGATTGCTTTCCCCTTGATGTGCTTTTAAATTTTAATTTGAGTGGTTTTAGAGCAAACTGGAAGTGAGAGACTGCCTCCGTAGAAATAGTAGGCAATCAGTGCTGACAGGTTAAGAACTGATATATGCCTTTAATATTCACTTCAGGGTGAGAATATTTCAATTTAGTTTCAAAGTGATCTTTAATAAATCATGTAGTGCTTTGTCAAGTCAAACCTATTTTGAAAGCTAAAGTTTAGGGAACTGAAAAATATTGCAGCACATGAGACACACAATCTGAAGTGTTAATAAAAGGATAGTAATGAAGCAAACAGAATGTTCAGATTATTATCCATTTCATCACGATAACTCCAATGTCCATGCCTGGAATCCATATGCAAGTATTGTATATACTACTGCATAATATAACAACTTTATCCATTTTTCTCATGTAATACAGGTAGTCCTTGACTTATAACCACAACTGAGCCCAACATTTCTGTTAAGCAAAACAGTTAAGTGAGTTTTTCCCATTTTATGACCTTTCTTGCCATCAATTTTAAATGTATCATCGTAGTTGTTAAGTTGCAAACACAGTTGTTAAGTGAATCTGGCTTCCAGCATTGACTTTACTTATCAGAAGGTCACAAAAGATCATCAAAAGATCTCGGGACACTGCAACCGTCATAAATATGAGTTAGTTGCCAAGCCTCTTAATTTTGATCACATGACCATGGAGATGCTTCAAGAATTGTAAGTGTCAAACAATGGTCGTAAATCACTTTTTTCAGTGCCGCTGTAGCTTCAAAAAGTCACTAAACAAACTGTTGTAACACAAGAACTACTTGTAGTAAGGTAGTGGTACCAAGCAACATGATCATGCTTCAGTTTCACAAATGATTGTTCAATCCATTCAGTTCACAAACCACTTTGAAAAAGAAAACCAAACTCATGTTCTAGTTCAGTTCAAACTCAAGGCCAGTGGGTCGAATCCAGCCTATGGGATGTTTAGATCTGGCTCGCAGGGCCACCCTGGAAACAGCAAAGGACTGACCCACAGTGCCTCTTCCAGGAAAAAAAGGAGCTTGGGGAGGCCATGCCCAGCCCTCTTGGCCTCCATTTTTGGCCGCAATTGGCTCCTGCAGCCTCTGCCAACAAACATGGGGCCCAGGAGGACCACGCACCCCCTCCATGAGCTCTGATTTCACTGGCAGACAGCTGCAGGAAGCCATCTATGAGTGATGTCGAACTGGCCATGTCTCCCATGGCCCCCAAGGCCAAACACAACCCTG